TGTCAGGTATATGAATGGACACGTATCCTTCGGATAGTGTTCCCGGTTCACCTTTAGCTTCCTTTCCCTACGTTTCAAGTCATTCCACGAACCACCTGGGCAACATAAGTAACTGTTCCATTTTGATATTGCGAAGGAAGATCCAGAACACCCAACCTAATCGATATTCCCACATCCCCTTCCACGCAATGGAAGCAAATAAATCCACTCCGCCAAGAACCGATGACATCATCTATTATTCATTCGACCGGCTCCGATGGCGTAGATACTGACCGGCGCAATGACGTAAAAGTGGACCGAACCAGGTAAACGTGCCTACTCATGCCTTATCACCTGTTGAGATAACCGCCTTCGATCGATGGAACCAGCTAACTGACGCTTATTCGTGCATTCAACACGTTCAACACGTCTCCATGCTTCCGGCACGTTGCCTGCCACGTTCAATCGAGGAGCGTTTTGTGGGAATATCACAGAAGCTCTATCGTATGGAAGGAAATAGCCTCAACCTGTGGAACTTCCGCGGCGAGAGAGCTCCACGAATGGCGTGATCGTCGTTTTTAAATATTCCAGGGCTTCCAAAGAACATTCGCACATTTTAATGCCCCAAGCAGACAGCATGGAACTCGAACATGAAACTAAATCGTATCCCTTTCAGTTACACTCCAGCAAGTTTCGGATGGAATGATACCAGGTTCGTTCTATCTGTGAACAGAGCGAATATGAGTAATGGCGATTCGGCCATTTCCTTTCCAAATATCGACCCATTCAAGTACTATATATTTCCCTTAACGGGATACGTAAGCACTTCCAACCGGTCCCGTATAAATGTGTCACATCTTACAAGATGAGCGAATGAGGAACGGATCCCTCGCCAGAAGTGAGAAGTACTGTAGATATGAGGAACTCATATTCTTCGCAAAAGAATCCACACCAGTTCCATAGTGTCAACTTTCCAAAAATTTTCTAAGAATTACCCAATATTTTTGGTTTTAAAATATAGGTTTATATTAACGAAAATCGGAATCGGGCACTTCTGCAGGTTAGGCCTTCTGTTTTCCTCTTCAAATCTCGCAAGATTTGCGTGTAAAATTATAATTGAGGAGGAAGCAGGGATCTCTTCTCTGTCGATCCTCATCGTCCTTGGAGACTTTGTCCCCTTCGCTCGGGGGTCGCAGGAGTGACGACGTCGGATTTTGGCCAGTCGGGGTTCGTGCGGAACGGGAGGGCGTGGTCTCTGGGAAACCGAGCGGGGGGTGGGGTCATAACACAGGGTAACCAGGTAGCGACGACCTTGTCTCAAGTGCATTCCCATTACAAGGCTGCTACGGTCAAGGTGAGTTCGGTTCGCTCCTTTTCGTCGAGAGTAAACGCTCTCATCGTTGGAATTGTGACTGCGTCGATAGAAACCTAGCCAGGAATTTTTCTTTACCGAACTTCTGTATGTCAGGAGTCAGGAGTCAGGAGAGTTAGTGATATCAAGAGGCGATTTCGCCCATTTCGATATCACGTGTCGAGGTCGAGCGTTCCTTAATTTTAGGGTAGGCCTAACCCTCTTAAAGCTAAATATTTTTGTATTTTTTTTTTTTTTTTTTTT